AATTATGTATTTATATTTATTCAATAATGATTTTTAATTATATAGTCGGTAAGTTATTTGATTTTTATTGCATCATTCATATATACAATTTAATTATACTAATTTTTGTATTTAATATTATCTAATGCTTAATAAAGATCGTAAGTTATTTGATTTTTATTGCATCGTTCATTTTTACAATTTATATTTACTAATTTTAGTATTAAATTTTTTTTATAACAATGCTTGATAATATAGAACGTAAGTTATTTGATCATAATTGTATCATTCATTTATATAATTTAAGTTTAATAATTATGTATTTATATTTATTCAATAATGATATTTGATGATATAGTCGGTAAGTTATTTGATTTTTATTTCATCATTCATTTTTACAATTTATTTTTACTAATTTAAATATTAAATTTTTCTAATATAGAATGTAGGTTATTGTATCATTCATTTATACAATTTAAAATTTACTAAATTTAAGTTTATATTTATACAATGATGATTATTAATGATAGACGGTGTATTATTTGATTTATAGCATCATTTATTTATATAATATAAGTTTACTAAACTTTTAGTATTGAATTTTTTTAATAACAATATTTGATAATATAGAACGTAAGTCATTTGCTCATAATTATATCATTTTAAAATTTTTATTTAATTTATAATTTATAAAACTACTAAATTTATTATATTTATAACATCGTGAAAATTATAAAAATTCAACAAAAATCGACATTTATTCGACGGTGATAGTTTGTAAGTATATAATTTTACTTACTATAATAACTTTATTATATTATTTATTATATTTTCTTTATTTTTATTAAATGTTTTAAATGAAAAATAGTCGGTAAGTAATTATTATATATTTTAATTTTTGCTGATATTATTTATTAAATAAATAATTTTAATTAAATCTTATAGAAGGTATATTCTTCCAAATATTTTTGATATTTTAATATATAAATATTTTATGAAATCATTTATTAACTTAATATTTATAAAAAAAAAGAGTTTAAAATAAAAGATCATTTGAGCCAAGAACATTTAGATTGGCACATTTCAATTAGCCCAAATGGAGAATATGTCGCTATATTTCATCATTGTAATTTATATTTATTTCTATTTCTATTTACATTTATTCCTGTAAATTAATATTCTTATTTAAATTACAGCAAGTATGAAGATTAAAATTATCAAATATAGTAAAGATAAAGAAATCGCAAACTCGGGCAAATTGGATGATCACTTTAAAGAATATAAATCTCAATTTAAAGATAGTGAATATTTGAAATGGATGTTTGCGACTTCAAATAATTTTAAAGAATTGGAAAAAAATTTCATCTTTGTTGCAATATCTTATGTAACAGAAATTGATATGCAAGTTCCAGAAACTATTATTGAAGTTGATAAACCTACCTTTTTTGAGAACTTCTTGTTGAAAGCTAATCGTACACAAAAAGAGCAACGGTTGAATGGAAAAACTGTTATCTATAAAGCAGATTTAGATTTATTTACGCAAGATAAAGAATTAATTGATAAATATAAAGAAATACAAATCGGTGGAATTGTTTCTTTTGCTCACGAATACAATTCTAACGAAATAACAAAAACTGATTGCTTTATATTAAATTTTAACGGGATCAATAGACTCTCACTTTCTAATAATTCTTTGAAGAAGTTTAATTATCCAAAAAGACTCATTATTGAATTAGATGCTTTATATAAAAATAAATCTTGGATGTTGCGAATTAAAAATTGTATTTTTGATCATTATTTTTATGTAGAGCAATACAGAGAAGGAATTCATGTTATGCAATTATATGATCTAAGTACCATGCAAATACAACAGTCTTTTAACATTTTTGAAGAAAAAAAATACTCAAATAAGTATGGCAAATCCATATTAGCTATTTCAAAAAACAAGCAAATGATTGCTTTTTCCTCTGGATATGGAAAATTGTCTCTTTATTTAATAGAAAATGGTCTAGAAATTATTTGTAAAGATTTTGGAGGAGATACAAAAATAATAGCTTCCGATTTTAAGGATGATAACCAATTAATGATAATTATTAACAAAGCTAAACACACTGGTATGAAACTTTTACTTTGGAATTTATATACAGATATATTTCAGTATGAACAAGAATTACCCGGAATTGATATTAGTATTTTTAATAGTGCAAAAATTTCTGGCAAATACGTATCTGTTAATAAATATGGTAGAATATTATCAATATATGATAGTTTACAAAAATTAGCTAGTGAAGAAGAAAGAAAAAAATATTATCACTCACCAACAAAAATTAAATTATATAGTGATGGTGTATGTATAGTAGATAAATCAAATGAAATGAAAGTATTAAAACAAGAATATCATATTGTTTATCATCAAGATCTTTCAAAAAATGAAGCACAACCTCTCATCGATAATATAGAACCATGGTTAACTGATGATTATGAAAAGATATTTGTATATCTAGACCGAAAAGAATCAAAGCAGTTATATATTGGAAAATGTACAGTTCAAGTTTGGTGCAAAATCGAGCAAAAAGAAAATTTTATTCTTAAATATTTTTGGGTTAATGAAGATAATGAAAATAAATATACATTAGAAATATCAGAATTAAACATTTATGAAAATGGTTTTTCTCTTAAATTGAAAAATAACTTTCAGATTAAATGGTTTTATAATGATAAAGAGGACACTAATTTAATCAGATATGCTTGCGATGCCCTTGAATATCTAAATTATCAAAGAAATAAATTAATTCGATATGAGAATCAGCATGGTAATTATCAATTCTTATTGTTGATTTTTTCAAAAAAACTTTCAAATATTTATTGCTAAATTTTTATTATTAAAAAATAGTATTTGAGGAAATTAAGTATTATATTTCCATAATTATTTGGAGATTTATTACAAATTATCCTAACATTTGGAAAATTTTGGATATTCACTATAATCTTATGGCAAAAATTATAATTGGTGGCTCAAACTCTCTCATTAAAAATATTCTGTTCGGCGATGAAAAAGTAAAACATAAAAATTTACATATACCAAGAATAACTCGATGGATTGATTCTGGAAGAACCACTGATAACAATGATTATTTGACCACGGAATATATTGATATACGTGAATTAAGTGATTTACAAATAGCTATCAAATTATGTAAACCAGGTAATTAACTATCATTGATTTAACAATAAAATAATTTTTTATTAATAAATAAATAAATATACATAGACCTTGAATGTAACCGTAGAATTTTGGTTGTAACTTATTTACTTGAATATTATACAAAAAATGCAACCAAAGATCATGGATGGTTAATTACTATTTCAAAAGCATTACCAGATTTATATACATATAAATTAGGTTTGTATTATTATTATCTTTTTTAATAGTTTTTGACATTTAAATAATAATTTATTTAAATTAAATAGAGAATTGTGTTAGCGAATTATTTTACAAAAAATGCATGGAAGGTATAGAAATATCAAATATTATTGAATACACGGATTTTATGCCTGCAAAGTTACAAATTACGTTAAATGAAAATAAGTTCGCAGCATTTAATCCAAATTCGAATCTCAAAACAATAAGTGATCCGGAATTAAATATTAAAGATTTAGGAAGTTATTTGAAATTGAAATTAACAGAACTTTATGTTAAAATTTTTTCAAGTAATTATGAAAATTATTCTTCAACTGTAAAAATAGTTCCTTTACATAATTTTACTGTTAATGGCATATCTAAAAAAACTTATGAGCATGAAGGTTTATTTACTATTTTTTTTATTATCAAGCAGCTATTTAAACTACTATTTATTCCTCGAGGTTATTTTGTTAATAATTCAGATAATGCAGAAAATATATCACAACTTAGTCCATTTGTTCAAATCATTAGATCAGAAAGTAATAATGATATATTTAATAACCCTGTAATGGAAGCTGTGATTAATTACAAATGGCGTCCAGCAAGAAATTATTTTCTTCGACTTTTTCTTATGTATATTTTATTCGCAGTTTGTTTCGCAACTATTTGTGGAAATTACGTGGCACATTCTGAAGCAACAGGATATCACTGTAATTTTTTATTTTTCCTTATGATTCTTTTCTATTATTTGGGAATTTATTTATTATTCGTGGAATTAAAACAGTTTAGACATCATGATTGGAGATATTATATTAATTTATTTAATTGTGCAGATTTAGTATCAACTGTCACTGCAATTGTTGTAATTTCAGTTTGTGTTATTCCTTCATTTAATACTAAAAATGCATTTGCTGATGCTAAGACTAGCCAAGCAAAAACTGTTGCAATTTCTTTTACGATGTTATTACTATGGTTTGAATTTGTATGTATTTGTAAGTTTTACTAAAAATAATTTGAATTAAAATTTAATGTTATTACTTATACTTTTTATTCAAATAGATTCTATATCTTCGGTTGCTATCAGGTAATTAAGTATTGAAGTTTATCTTCATGATTAAATATATTTAACTTTTACAAAATTATTTCTTTAGAACCTGCAAAATACATCTATATCATGTTAAATATTATTAAAGAGACTTGGATGTTTCTTTCTTTTATGATTCTTATTATCGCTGGATTAGCACATAGTTTTTTACTATTATTACAATATCCTGACTTTACAAATCTTACAGAAATTAAATCATCATCTGAAGATAACCCTGCTGAAAATTTCATTACTTCATTTCTTTCAACATACAATTGGTTAAATGGTAACTTTTTACAACGAGATATATGGAATTTTTGGGCAGTAAAGTCATAACTTTTATTGGTAGCATTCTTTTAGTAACCATTTTACAAAATATGTTTATTGCTTTTATGGGGTATGTTTCATATTTTTTCTTCTTCATGTTTATTTGCGAATCGAATTAATTAACTTTATATAATTTATTATTAGGGGTGTATATTCTAAAGCATATGCGAAAGGTCGTGTTGCTCTACTACGATTTCGTGCAGAATCAATTTCTGATTATGAAACATTAGATGAAATATATTTCTATCCTCCATCACCAGAACCAAAATATATTTATTATAATGGTAAATCTAAAAGTAATGAAGAATGGGAAGCGAAAGTTAAAAAATATAGTGAAAGGAACTTATATGATGATTATGAAGAAAAAATAATTGCAAGACCATTATCATATGAAGAAGATAATTATTCCAGTGATTATACTAATTCCGAAAATGAAAAGAAGAATGATGAAACAATTGATGGAGAGCTTAATAAGGTTGATGTAAAAGGGAAGAAAAAAGAAGTTAGTACTAACAAAGTTGTTGAGAAAGGAAAGGAAGAAGAAATTAATCTTAATGAGCTTAATAATAAGATTAATGATTTTAATATTAAACTGAACAAGATTGATGAGGTTGATAGAAAGATTGATCTAGTTTTAGCATCATTAAACAAGGTCTAGAACCCTCAAAATTATTTTTTTATTTAGAATATTTTTAAATTTTTAAATGTCATTTTGTTTTACTTTAGCGTCATTAATCAAAGAGAACAATAAACTTTTTATGAAATTGTTCAGTACTAATATCAAAATTTAATTATTAAAATTATTAAGTGATTCATTATTTTAATCTCTACAAACATAAGTTGTTTAAATTTGAACCAAATTTATGCAGCATGATAATAAACTTCCAAACAATTACGAAATATTGATCTATTCATTGTGTTTAAAATTTAGACGACGAAAATTTTTTTTATTTGACAGTCAACGACCAAAATTATGCGGACACTTTTTAAATCAAAAAATTTATATAAATAAAATAAAGTGGAATAGAGCAAAAGGTAAAATTTATTTATTTTATTTATTGATTTTTACAAAAAAAATCATGATACTAATAATGATTCTCTGCGACATCAATCATTTTTTGTAACATTCCGGACTTAAACCCAATCGAAATCTTTGGGCAGAAATGAAAATGATGGTTCGATGTACTTCCTCACCATCTAATATCCGAGAGCTTGAAAAATATGCTAGGATATTCCTTCGGAATATTACAAAAAATTGATTGGTAGGTTATTGCCGCAATAGAATTAAATAGTAGTATGTTGTAGGGATTGGAATCGATTCAACCAAAATCGAATTAATCGAAAATCGAATCGTATCTAATAGAATCGATTAATCGAAT